TTTCTTCAGAGTTTTTAAAAAGTTCTTTTTCCCTATTTCTATAAAATCTGATTCCAACAGCCATTGACTTGCTAAATATCTGAACAATGCAATGAAGTTTAAATAAGTATTTTTTTTTTTATTGATACCTATCAATTATACTTCATTAAATATATTCTATTATTTTTATTTACCTGTGTTGCAAACTTGACCTTCATTTTGGATAAATTATTTAAAACAACATGGTTTTTAATTATTTTAGGGCATACTTTTTCTAAACTATTTTCTTCTAGATTAAATATGGAATGATAATATTCCCATTTTATTAATGATTTAGATGGATGAATCTGTAAGTGAGATATTTTGCTATAATTGATTGTTAATTGTATATATCTAGGTACTATGTTTATATTTTAGCTTGCTCTTAAAACTTTTTTGTCATGTAGGCGATTCCTTATAGTTTTAATAAGATGTGGAGCATCACTGAAGACAAATACTTTTCGTTGGTCATCAAACGGACTTAAAAAGCAATTACTTAGTTGTCCCATTTTTCCACTGATACCTAGTTGATTCCACATCGTTATGTTTGAAGAAGCACCATCAGTAGTCAAACCCACTACTTCTGCGCCTGCATCTTCTAATAGCATTATTGCCTTTATGACTAATTTAGTCAAATCGATACCTAGTAATACATGTTTTAATAAAAAACATAACAATTTTTAAATTTAGATAATATATTTAAAATACCTTTTACAGGACCTTTGGAAGCAAATACCACCACTGGTTGGGTAAAATTATCAGCAAGACTTCCCCACATAAATACCAAACCATGATCAGCCTTTACACCTTCTCGATTTGGTATCTCTCCACCAAAATCTTCCAAGCCAGTGTAAGTTAAAGTGGGACTATTAACTGAAATACTCGACCTTAAAAAAACTTCATCAACTAATAGAATTCCCTTTTTTTGATGTGAAGTTTTATTTTGCATTTTCTTTTTAAGGAGCTTAAAAAAATTTAAGTCAAAACCACAGTCATTTTTGAATGCCGATAAATACTTTCTAATAGTATTGACACATGGCAGAGGTAAAATATTTTGATCTCGAAGAAATTTGTACCCACACGGACTTCTGAAATTTTATTTTTACTGGTAATTTTATTTTATTTCTTAATAGTGATTGACTTTAATCTTACCTTATATGAAAAAGCAAACATAATAATAACCAACTTTCGCTGTACCTTCTTTGTCTTTTATTTTTTATTTTGGCAGCATTAAATATCTCGTGCACAAGGTTAGAATCACAATCAGATAAATTTGATTTAATAATTAAGTCATTAAGAGATGATGCTTCGATTTGATTCATCTGTGATTTTACTTTGTCTAAGTTTTGCTGTACAACTTTTAGTCTTTTTTCAACTCTTGAACATTTTTGGTTTATCCTTTTCTTTGACTTCATTAAATTACTAAATTTTTCTCTTTTAGAAGGCGTTAAATGTACTTTTAATTTTTTATCATTATTCTGACGATATTTTTTTATTTTAATTGTAAGCCTAAGTCTTTTACACCATAAGCATACATCACTACAACATATTATAATATAATATAAATAAAAACAATTTATGTATAATATATTAATATGTGTTGTTAATTATTTTACTTTGTAAATGTTTATGATTAATTACCTTTTATCATTTTTTACTGTAATAAAGAAATTTTTATGTTTCTAGTGTCCATTAAAATCAACAAATTGAGGACCGAACGAAGCTTTTACATTTTCACTTTTTATCCCTCTGCATACTTTTATAGTATCAAATTCAATTAATGCTCTTTCTAAACTGCAAGTACTTGAAGTTATACTACAATAATTATCAATTCCAACTTTTGATAATTCCATCTTCACTCCATTTATATAAAAACAAGGTTCAGAATCTACAAAAAATATCCAATTTTAATAGAACTAGATAAGAATTGAATTGTAAATTTCAAAATATGATTTATGTGGTGAGCGTGTATATATTTATTTTAATAATTAAAATTATTATTTGATTAAGAATCCCTTGCTTTAAAACTAACTGTTTTTCTACAACTCGTGTTTTATATACATTAAATGGACTTAAAGTAAAATAAGTTTTTTATACTATTGAGTTATTATGTTTTGTAACATCACAAAACCAGTTATTTGGCATGTTAATTGAACTTAATTTGTCAATCACACTGGTTTCTTCAATTATTACCTCAGATACATCATTATAGGCTATAAAGTCATCAGCCAACTAAAATAAATTATTAAACATTTTTAATATTGTTTGTATAAATTATGGAAGTTTAAAGTAAAACATACTTCTATACATTGTCGCTTAGGAATTGGTAGTTTTACATTTAAGCATAACGAATTTCTTTTTTGAATACAATAATTATGTTCTTCCAAAATTGTAGTTACTAATGTATCCTTAACCTTAAATAAACATTACATATTCAAAATAAACTATTTCAATATTTCATAATATTCTCAAACAAACCTCGTCACAGATATTATAAGCTAAGTCAGATGGAAAAATTGAAGGAATGACCCCTTTTTTCAGCCTTGGCTGCCTAAGACAGATCTAATAAAAAAAAGTATACACAAAAGTAGTTTGCATTTAAAAAGAGATTGACATTTTCAAAGTATAAGTAATAAAAAATGACAAATAAAATGTATTGAGAGATGAGACTACAAGAGTAGTTATTTCCAAATAACAAATACAATAAATTATTATTTGTTTACTTACCGAATACTTACTAGAACCTTCACCTGATGTCCAAGTAGATATAATATCATTTGTGTTAAAATGATGAGCACAAACTCGAGAGTTTCTATTCAAAACAATACCAATTTTTTTTTTCCCATGCTTTATGGTCATTTTGTGGGACCCCAAATTGACTTGATGAGCTTTGTTGGCAACCAGGTACACTGCATTTTTGGATACCATATTAATTGGATACTTAATATTTAATAAATACAAGTTAAATCATACAATTTCAGATTTTCCATATTACTATCCAATATCCATACTATACATTATAATAGTATATTAATTATTAGTATAAAATATAATAATAACATACGCTATAAACACAGTTTGCCTCCAAAATATTTAATATATAGTTTAGATTATATACACTGAGAGCGCTAGTTGTCCTTCTTCCTATGGTGCACAGCTGATTTTCAGGGTTAAACGGTGGGAATCACTCTGGGGACTAGTTTCTATACGGCGTTGAGTAACCTGTAAATCTTAAATCGTGGTTGCGACGTTGCCCAATCGATATAATATCAAATAACGATAAATTATCACTTACGATATTTTAATATCCGTCTTCATTCAAGAATTGACAAATTTGATAAAACAATATCGTGCGTGATAAATGTATTGATAATTGTCGTATTTGATATTTTATCAAACGATCTCGAGAATAGGGCCCCAGGTGTCACTCACCGCCGTGGTGACAACACCGTACAGTTAATAAAACTGATGATAATAATATAAAAAAACCTAATTACACTTTTCGTGACACTATATTGTCACCAACGAAAACACGCGTTCAATAAAAAGAATACCAATGATATCAGCGGCCGTCAACACTATATCATGCGACTCGACCGCGTGTGTTACGCATAAACGCAACGGCAGAACTGGTCAACGGGCATAATCGTGGACACCAACACGGTCGCGACCATAGACCTATAAACTAATGGACAGCGCTTAGAGAGAGAGGTCAGGGGTACGATATACAGTATTAGTTTCATACGTCTATGATTTCCCCCATTATGTTTTTTCTCTCTTTCTCTTATATGATTGTCCACCAAGATCCCCCCAATATGTTCTTTCTCACTCACTCTATATTGGCGCCACTCATTGATGGCTGGGTGGTGAGTGAGGTGCAGTCCATTAGTTTATAGGTCGCTTTTAGTGTCCGTCGCCCGGTCATCGTTATCTCTGTGTTATCTATCAGCGTATATGGGTTCGAACAATAGTATATTATTTATATTATAGACTTTAGTATTATACTATCAGTAGACTACCTATTTTAATATGATTTATGAACTGCGTATCACACCATTTCATATAGTGATATTTGATTCTCAATTTAAATTTTTGATTTACAAACAATACATACAATACACGTTGTTGAATTAAATTGGATTAATGTATTAAATTGTAAAATATAGATAAGACAATAACTAATCAAGACTCAAGAGATTTTTTTAATATTGATTAATTTATACTTAAGTATATTACATTATATTATACATATTTACGTATTATATTGAATTACATATTATTATTATTATACTACTGTGTTCATGCGTATAATGTTAGACATAACGTCGATAATAAAATGAACATAGGTACCTATTCAATTTAGACAATAACGATATTAAAAGTAGATAATGAAAGAATGTAATCGTTCTTGGAAATTTCGGCATTATTGCCGATTATTTTTTTAGTTTATATATGTAATAAATACTATAACGCGTAAATTGTATTATGAAACATAAAATATTGTTTCATTATTGAGAGTGACTACTACGTTATAGAGAATGAATTGACTAATGGGTTGTATAGCAAACCAACCATTATCATGTAACGGGCTGGAAAGTGGAACCCGATTGAGCACAGTTTACCTTTTTCATTACCCAATTGAGCATAGATACAATTAAACAATAGAAATCCAAAATATAACACGATTGAGCATAGAAATAAGTACAATGTTGCCGTTCCACATATCATAATAAAAATTTAAAAAAATTGAAATATTTACAGGAATTATTTTATAATAATCATCAAGCTATTAATTAGTGTATAAAAATATAAAATGAAATTATTTTACAAATATATACAATATACATAGTTTATGTCCAATACAGATTAGTCTTAAAGTTAATTTGTTTTATAAATATATAATATAATTCATATCCTATACAGATTAGTCTTAAAGTTAATTTACATATTTGATTTGAATATTTGTATTATGTGTCAACGTTTTAAAGTGGTATCCCTAAATACTTGTTTCCCACTTTTAATAAATATTTTAGTAAATCTTTAGAACATTTATTTCTTAAATATTCATCGTAAGCCATTATAGTTGCATTAATTTTTTGCATTTCAATAAAACTCATACTTTTATAACTGTCGGTTTCAATTGACCGAATTTTTGTCATCGTTTCAGCTTGCGTTTCTTGTAAAACCATAATTACCAAGTGTATGTGTGGGTGAGACTTATAAAATTGTGAATTGTAAGTTCTATGAAAACTTTCAACAGCGTTGGTTGTCCTAAAAAAAAACATTTCATAGAAATTAAATTAACATTTTTTTTATATTTAATATAATTAGATTTTGGATGATCTACCTTGGATCAAACATAGGTTCTTTAGCCCATATATTTGGGGGGAATGGAGATTCATCATCTATATAATTATTGAAAACATAATCGCTAAATTCTGAGCAGACTTTATCATTTGGGCAGACACTCATGAGTTCGACGAATGCATCGGCTACTTCATGATTAGGTAAAAAAGCTAACCCAAAAAAACTCTTAAGCCAATTTCCTAGTTCGTCGTTTTCTTTTTTATAGGCTATTCTGAGAATAGAATCGCTGTTTATCTATAATAATAATTAAGAATACAATTAATGTATAATTCTTTGATTTGAAATTATTTTGAACTTACTTTTCGCCACCATGATTGTCCTAAATGAAATCGACAAGCTATTAATTGTACATTTTCAAAAACTTCATACGCGGCTTGGTGGGCTGCCTTTTCAAAGTCAACGTGTAATTTTTTTAATATGAACTGACTTCCTGTATATTCAACACATAAGTTTTGTAGGAATATCCACATTTTTTTATATGTATCTTTTGATTTTTTAAATAAAAAAAAATAAACCAACGGCAAATAATAGTCATTTTTATATCCATGAATAGTATATAGTTGTTCAAAATATTTGGGTGCGTAATTAAATGTACCATCGGCGAAAAAATCAATACAATCATGCTTAATCATAAATAGTAGGTTGAAATCAGAAGTAATGCATACAAAACTATTGTCTTCGGGAATATGTATGAATGGTTGTCCACGAAACTTAAAATCATCTTGAGTTTTCATTAAATTCAACTGTAAAAAAACGTCTTCCGGTGACTTAGGCAATTTGGGAAGTACTTTTCGTCGTCTATCGTACATAGCTTTACGAACCGTTTTTAAATCTTTATGAACAATTGAAGATTGTTTATTTAAAAGTTCACTTCTAATCAACTTTAAAGGTTGAGTTGATAGTGACTCTTCAGCACGTCTTTTACAATTTTAACGTAATACTTGCCTTTCTAATTTATTAGGTGAATTTCCTTTATGTTTATGTTGTCCACTTGATTTAATAACGATATTTTTATCTGGTCCAGAATAAATCATAGCTGTACAATTATTTTTTGTGCATCGCCATTTTAATAACTCGCCTTTTTTAACCGATCCAATAAATCTGTACTTAAAAGTACCAACATTGGCTAATTCTTTTCCTCTCTCGGATAAAATAACTTTTATTTCACTATTGTCCATCGCGTTCTATGTATATAAATAAAGTTATCTAAAATAAAACGGTGTAACGTACTAACGCTTAACGACGAACGACCACTAACGACTAACCACTAACGCCTGATGGTATTGAGTCTAAGTTACTTATATTTTGGCAATACAAAAGCTCACTTCTATATGACTATATATTATATAGATAACAAATAATATCCAATCTTAAAGTCGTACAGATAATCTTAATTGACAATGCATGAGTGTACCTATTTCGACGATTATGTCGATCCTAATTTCCTAAACGACTCGTATATTATTTATCGATTATACTCGTGCCGCTTTCAAAAGATGGGAAACCACGATTGAAAATAATCACCATTCTATGTTAAATACCTCCCATACGACTAGTAAAGCACAAAGATTGACAAATATTCCCACCGGCTTTATATATAGGTACTAGTATTTCAAAATACGAGTGTAGCCTAGCTGGTTGTAGTCGGACAGAAAAATTGGCAACGTTGCATTCATTTGACTGTGCTCAATCGGGTTGTTAAAAAATATGGATCGTGCTCAATCGGGTTGTTTCAAAATAGGGACCGTGCTCAATCGTGTTTCACCGGACCACGTTATATAGAGTTTTTCGTTGTAAAGAGTTTCGTTATAAAGAGTTTTCACTGTATATGAATAAACGTTAAAAAGGTTATACAATATTATATAATAACATTTACTTAGTTTACTAAATTATAATTTAAGAATTTTTACAAGTAGGAAGGTATTTATATTTTATTCCGTAACAAGAAATGAGAAATACTTCAGGTAAAAATCTTATGGTTATCAATTATCATCACTGAAAGAAAAACTGGAATCATATTAATGATAATGTACGTGGATTTGATAATAATATTGTCAATATAGAGCCAACAACGTTTTATAGTGAAATTGATAAACCTTGTTGTTGAAGATAACAGTCTACTAAAATTTGTAATACCAATGAGACGAATTGTCAATTAAACAATATTTATGGTTGAATAACAATACACATATTATCATAATCATAATTATGTTACGTCCCAACTGAGGTCGATATATACATCAACGCAGGAATGAAATACTGATGTACTTGGTTATGATGAGTGTTTATTTAAGTACAAAATTACAATGTATATAAGCTATGGTGGAGATGTGAGCGGTGTTATGACCTGACTCCAAATGTCTTGAGTATCCCAAAACCGTCTGCCGAGCTCTTGTCCCGGGCTGGTATTTATATGATCGAGTCCTTTGGAGTGGGTGCTTGTATCAATGGCCAAATTCGGTCATGAGACTGCGTCCGGGTCTCGTACTTGGTATGCTGGTCGACTCGTATCCTTCGTATGAGTGTTTGACTTTCCTAGAGAGGTACTTTTACAGTGTCCCTAGCGTGTTATAATATACTAATTGCCTTATTAATTATATCGTCGAGTACTATTAGAAACCTGCGCTACGTCGTACATTGTTATTACTTAATTACTAAATAAGTAGGTACGTAACAATTATATATTGTTGCCAATACAGTAACGTTTTTTAATACTACGAATAGCATCGTTGAACCAACAAAATTATAATTTTTCTAGAAATTTAAATTGTATATTTAACAATATACATTTTATAATAATAACTATACGTATTCTAGTCAGGACAAAAACATTTTTTCATACTACAAATACCATTGTTGAACGTACAAAATTATAATTGTTAATTTTCAATTTATATTTTTATATATACATATATATAAATTTTCAAAATGATTAGACTTAAGTTAATGTAAAATTAATTTTATTAAATGCATTAATAACAATAAATTAATACAAATCAATATCATCAAATCACATAGGTAATTAAATTCTTAATTAAAAAACAAAATCAAAACATAAAAATATCATTAAATCATTTATGTAGTATAATATATATATTATAAATTATAATTGAACAGATGGATTAATGTAGTTACATAAAAATTCAAATTTTAATATTAAAGTAAAGGAACAATTGCAGTTTAGCTACCAAGCGATTTTTTCAAATTTTTTTTTCGAAACCTAGGTAAATCAACGTTTTAAAAATGATGGTGCCAAAAAAAAGTTGCGCAAACTCTTAGTTTTTGAGTTATAACTGTTTGAAATTCAAAAATTCCCAAATTTTGAATTTTGAATTTTGAATTTTTTTTGTGGTAGACTTATGTATTTTTACTATTTAAAAACGATGGTGCAATCAGAATTTGTCGATCGAATTTAGTTTGAAAGTTATAGCGGTTTTAAGTTATGAAAGTTAAAAGTTGCAGTGATTACGAGTGTATTGGCACTCGTCGCTACGCTCCTCGGCGCCGTCGCTCCGCTCCGCAAATCGAAAATATCCCCCGATTTGTTGTGTAAAACCACCTCAGGTGAACCTCGGAATTAAACATAGTTGTTTTTTGCCAATTACAAAAACATTTATATTTACGATATTTGGATTCAGGTTATATTTGTCCAACATAATATATTCCCAGTTAGGCGATAACTAGGTAGATAACATTATGTCTGTAAAAGAACATTTAAAAGACATTAAGATAAAAATATTGTAGGTCATAAAGTTTCATAATTTCAAAACTAATCATTAGTATTATGATTAGTAATATCGAGAAATTATATATCTGAAAAATATAAGGCGCAACTACCTCACTTGGCGACTTGGTTCAACAAAAAAAATTTTTCTTTAAAAATCCAAAATTTTTAACTTAAAACCGCTATAACTTTCAAACTAAATTCGATCGACAAATTCTGATTGCACCATCATTTTTAAATAGTCAAAATACATAAGTCTACCACAAAAAAAATTCAAAATTCAAAATTCAAAATTTGGGAATTTTTGAATTTCTAACAGTTATAACTCAAAAACTAAGAGTTTGCGCAACTTTTTTTTGGCACCATCATTTTTAAAACGTTGATTTACCTAGGTTTCGAAAAAAAAATTTGAAAAAATCTCGTGGTAGCTAAACTGCAATTATACCAAAGTAAAATATAAATACAAAATTATATATATATATTTATATAGTATTATTTATACTACACTGTATACACTTATGTAGGATAGGTAAATGAACATCTGAATTAAATGATAAAAACAAATTCAAATTTTAGTTAATATAAAAGTGAAATATAAAAAAAAAAATTATACATATCAATATATTATTATTAATTATACTACACTTAATATGTAATATAAATTATCAATTGAATTAAAGTAATTTAAAAAAGGTGGGTAAGTGGATGTCGCTCTGCTGTACAGTAGGTTACAAGTGGGTCACTGTATAATGGATGGTATTAAATTTGAATTCAATGATAAAATATCATTGTATCTATAAGAAAAACGATTCTGAGCGAAGAAGGTATGTCAGTCTAGGTTTAAGACATATTATATACATATCTATGGTATTAAAAAAAAAATTGACCTATAATAAATTCCAAATTAATCATATCACAATATCCACTAGGTACTTATAACACGTTATACATCAATAACAAACCCTGATACTATCATAGATATATAATATAGTGTACTTTAGAAGTTTCAAGTACCCACGAATAGTATTATACACTCAAAACAAAATAACTAAAATAGGTATGCTAGGTTTTTTAATATGTAATTTCGTCCCAAATTTGAACTTAAAATGTCTGTAAAAAATAACTGTGCTCATATATTTTTTAGATTTTTTGGCTACAGTATGAACTATTTATGAGAATCTTTTTTTAAATTTTCAATCCTTAGCTATAAAAACTGAACATTTTATAATTTATTAATTACGATGGTTGATAATTTTCGAGATTTTGATAAATTTTGTCAAAATGCGATCTTTAAATGCTTATAAAAAAAAATTGTGCCTATGTATTTTTAATATTTTTCAATTGATATTGTAACAATATATCAGGAGCCTTGTATTAATTTTTCACACTTTTTGGCCCAACAGATAAAACTTTATTAATATTTATAGAAAAAAAACTAAAAAAATTGAAAACTGAAAATGTCCGTAAACGGCTCAAAAAGAGTCAAAATATTTTCAAAATTGTATGGTGTATAGGAAATGCTAATATAAACATTCAGTGAAATTTTCATGTATCTACAGTAATTCGTTTTTGAATTACAACAAAATAAAGAAATCGCCACATGAGAAATCGAGTGAATATCCAATGTTGTAAAAATTTGAATTTCAAACGCTCATAAAAATTTAATTTGACTTTCTTATAGAATTTTTTTTTTTGATAAATGTAGGAAATAAATATAAGGAATCTTGTATTACATTTTCATATCTT